ACATTCTACGCACTACCCTGACCTTGATTTTATTTTTCTTTCCTTTGTTCTTGTGCTCTTGCGCATTCTGCGCTTCCTTCTCTGGCATCCCTCCTATTCTGCTGCCGGGCGCCTCTACGGCTTCTCTCCCACGTCGCCCTCACCTCGTCCTTGTACACTGGATTGTCTCCAAGCAACAGGTTGGTCCGAATGTAAGACGGTGGAGATTGTCTCTCCGCGCAAACGCGTCGACCAAAGCGGCCGAGTGTAAGAAGGATTCGACGACGGATTGTCCGAGTGTACGAAGGAGGAGAGATTGTCTCTCCGAGCAACGGGTCGGTCCGAGTAAGGGGGTTCGAGGGAAGGATCCAGAGGGGGGGATCACAGACCGGGCTATCAGAGAGCGGGGAGGGAGGCACGATCACATATATTTTGTGGGAGCAAGAACGAACAAAGGACGGCAGCAACGACGGAAGAACAATTGATGTTGTTGTTATTACTGCGGTTTTTTATTGTACGCACATAGAGACAGTGTGTGAAGGCGTTTAGTGGAGAAGACGGGGGGGGGTGTATATTCATGACGCGTTGTGTGTGTAGGTAGTGTAGTAGTACTTTTTTTTTTTTTCCTTCTTCTTCTACAGAGGCAACGAGGACGACAGGACGGCGGGAGGCAGCAGGCGGAAGCAAGAAAACAAGTAGTGGTTGTGTATTTTTCACGATTTCCAGAAGTGTGACACAGAAGAGTGACCGAAGCGTTGACGGAGACGGGGGATGTGTATATTTGTTGCTGTTGTTGTTGTTAATGAGCGGTGTGTAATAGTAGTAGTAGTAGTCGCGTACTTTTTTCAAGTAAAGGAATATAATGGTTTCAATATGACTGCAGCTACAGGATGGGACGTGGACATAAGGAAATTTATTGATGCATGGCGGCATTTTGTATCGATCAGGAAATTAACACCCGGGAGGAAGTATTGGGTAAGTTCAATTGTACACAGTTTTCACAGAAGGAGAATGCATTGTATTCTAAGAGAACTATATATACATTAAGGAAGGACACGTATACGTGCGCATGAGCTATTTATATTTGTATCATGAAAATGAGAAAGGCATTTTAACGTAAATGGGGATCCACGTGAAGTACAGCATGTAGGGGATGAGTATGGTTCCGTGTAATAGAATGTAGAGGGAAGCAAAAGTGGGGAATATACATACATATATGAATTATTCGCCCTATAGAACGAAATATCCAAGGAGGTGGATGCAATATTCAATGAGTTAACAAAGGTGATTGGCGAAAGAGGAATATGGAATACTGTCATTTGTGGGAGTTTATACAATCAGCCCGGCGACACTTTGTGCAGCAGTAGGTGTGGAGAAATTGTAAGCCTTATGTTATATATGAAGGGGTATAATTATGTAGGGAACAGGACGTGGCAAAAAAGGGCAAAGGAACGCAGGTATGACTGGGAGTTCGAAGAATATTTGAAGTGCATACTGGCGAGGGAAACTTTATTACAACTATATGGAAGCAATAACGATCACAGGGGGATTATACAAACAGTTTCGGATGAGCTAAAAGGCAGAAGCAAAATTCTACAGAAGGACTTTGCAGATGGAATATGCGAAGGCAGAGATTATGGAAAAGTAATATTCACATCAGGGGATATTGGGGAAAGCATAAAGAAGCGGTTACAGAGGTGGACTCAAGAATCTGGACGAAAGAGAATATTGAGCAGACAAGGAAGGCAGCAGAAGTGTGCATGGGAAGAGGAAGAACCAATAGAGCAACAAAAAAAACCGAAGGATAAGGGGAAGTGCAATAGGGATGAGGACGTAAAGGAGGAAGGAGATACAAAAGACATAATGAACTGGATTAGGGCAGATACAACACCCCTAACACAGTATTTGTTCAAAGTAATCACGAGCACAAGGGGACTATCGGCCAAATGTAAAGTGGAAGAACAAATAAAGGGCAAGGTTAAGGACATGCAAGGAACAGTGCAAGGGACGGTAACACACACTGCGAAGCCACAGACACCGCCAGGATCAAATGCATCAGGGGTAGGGAAAACGGGATCATCTCCTGCTTCACCCAGCAGCGCAGCAACAGCACCAGCCAAACCAGCACCAGCCAAACCAGCACCAGCCAAACCAGCACCTGCCAAACCAGCACCAGCCAAACCAGCACCAGCCAAACCAG